CCTACCTCACAAACAATTCCCAGCTATGCTCTAGCCACGTCACTAACAATGACGTAAGAAATCTTAATAAGAGTCTGATTTGCATGTACCTGGTTTAACTTTTTGGAGACAGCTGTTTGAGGAGTCTTCCAGTGATGGTCACAGGCAGACTCTTCTGGGGCCTTGGAGAACAAAGACGTTCACAGGAACACTTCTCCAGTGGCAGCTTGGCAAATACGGACATCCTCAGATATACTCCCTCTCTTAGGCTAATCTTTTTAACTTTTCCTGTTTTTGGAAGGGAATCTGAGTAGTCTTAAATGTGTATTGTATTGACACACGCAATGTTGCATAAAAGGCTCAGTGCAAACAGCTCTCCTTTTCTTAAGCAGCTTTTTGGCCACCCCTCTTTTCACATTCCAGGATCTATCAGGAAAGTCACAGTGGCTTCGCACATCACTCAAAAGTGGCCCAACACGTGAAGTCCATCTTAATGCTCCTCATGAAAAGGACAGGAACAGACCCAGACAGAGCTCTTAGAATCATAGAATCATAGAATCGTTAGGGCTGGAAGGGACCTTCAAAGGTCATCTAGTCCAACTCCCCTGCAAGGAACAGGGATATCTCCAACTAGATCAGGTTGCTCAGGGCCTCGTCCAACCTGGCCTTGAACGTCTCCAGGTATGGAGCATCCACCACCTCTCTGGGTAACCTGTTCCAGTGTTCTACAACTCTCATGGTAAAAAATTTTTTCCTAATATCCAACCTGAATCTACCTCCCTCTATTTTAAAACCATTACCCCTTGTCCTATCACAACTGGCCCTCCTGAACAGCCTCTCCCCATCTTTCTTGTAGGCCCCCTTGAGGTACTGGAAGACCGCTATAAGGTCACCCCGGAGCCTCCTCTTCTCCAGGCTGAAGAGCCCCAACTCCTTCAGCCTGTCCTCATAGGAAAGGTGCTCCAGCCCTCCTATCATCTTCGTGGCCCTCCTCCGGACCCTCTCCAACTGGTCCATGTCCTTCTTATGTTGGGGACTCCAGAACTGGACGCAATACTCCAAGTGAGGTCTCACGAGGGCAGAGTAGAGGGGGAGAATCACCTCCCTTGACCTGCTGGCCACGCTCCTCTTAATGCAGCCCAGGATGCGGTTGGCCTTCTGGGCCGCAAGAAGGCATATCCATCTCATCACATGATCTTCAAGTCTCCTACAACTAGAAGACTTTTCTGCTATAACCCATCCCACATGCTAAGCCCATAGGTTACAAGAATGCAAGCCATTCCTTGGTCCTCTGCCTACATACCACAGGGGAGCAGCCCATGTACAGCTGCTCCACAGCCTCTCTCCCGTTGAACACCAGTGGGAGGAAAACATGTGGCTGGGGAAAGGGAAGCCCATTGCATTTCACCAGTCTGCATGCCAGTGTTAGCGGATCTGTGTTTACGCAGGGAGCACCCGCTCCTTGAGGACAGGAAGAGGTCCGAGGGAAGCCAAAACGCACAGCTGCAGCTGGGGAGCCGCAGTCAGGGTGCACTGTGTCACCCCTCATCTCCCCCAGCACCAGCAAAGAGCTGTGGTCTTGCTCCAAGGAGGCAGGGGCTCCACTCCACCTGCTTCCAGGTCTGCCTCTGCCTCTCCCCCTCCCTTTTGCTTCACAAGGCTGGATACGCTTTTAACTTACTTATAACACAATGATCTGCTCCTCTCTTTCCATCTGTAAAAGGCAACAGTTCCCAAGTGTAAGAATAGCTGGGCTGCCTTTAGCGACAAATCATGTGTAATTATGCAAACACAAGCCTATTTCATCCTTTGGAGTATCTCGAATCGTTAGCTACTCGGTGTAAAGCACACAGCTATGAATAAAACCCTTTTTTTTCGTTAATGCTTGTTTAGGTTAAAGCCCTAGGATTAGCAGTGCTCTTCAAGTATTTTAAGACAGTATTTTAATAAGAATTATAAATTTAAAGTATTTGGTCTAAATTCAGTTTTGCTCTTTCATTAAGTACCCCTCCACGACCAGAGTCAGGATGTAGGTCCAAAGTCAGAACATTTGTAGCAAATCTGTCCAAGCGCGAGGGCAGATCTGCATTGCCCCTGCAAGAAGCCAGAAAGGGTTACAAGGGCACAGAAAGTAACTGATGCACTCTCCCACACACTCCTGTATTTATCTGCCTCTCCAGAACTTGACCCTCACAGGCTTTGAGCACCACTCATCTGGTGACATTATATTAAAAGTAAATAAAAGCTAACTACAGAAAGTTCGGATTTTGGAAATTTTTAGATGTCTATCAATTCTGATTTGATCTATGCAGCTCTCTACATCTATACACCTAAGTACGTAACAGCGTGTATACGTGTGCATAGACCATACACGGGCTTACTTTCACAAGATCCTCCTCTCCAACCAGCTCACCACAGAAATCTGTGTTTTGAGGGGTTGAGAGTGCTGCACCTTTTTTTTGCCCTTATCCTTTCAGACTTTCCCACACGTTTGAGCGGGGCACCTGAAATGGCTGAGTTGTTGAAAGCAGCTCAGAACAGATCTGAGGCAAGATTCTGTGTTCTTCATAGGCAAGGAAACAGTTAAGAGGTTGTCTCTGTCTGTGGTACGGGAACGGAAACTCTCAAGGAGTAAAATCCATTATGAACAAAATAGAGACGTTCCAGGGAATGGAATTTGTCGGAGCTGAACAAGGAAAGATGAGTGCTTATCTTTTTGTGGAACATCCGTATGAAAGATGTGGAATTCTTAAAATATCTCGATACTCAGTTACGAGCAGGACTATTCATCCTACATCCTACTTCTGCACACAGGAAGGGAAGAGCTAATAGCGGAAGAATTTTCTTTCGACAGTGGGAACAACTGCATGATGGTTATCCCCCACCCCATGTGGGATTCCACTGGAGATCAAGGATGCCCTGCCAAGCGCTGGGGCATTGCTACGTGTTTGTGGAAGTCTCTCAGCTTTTATTAATTGGATTCCTGGCAACGCAATAAAACCCTGTAGCAGAAAGCCACACTGCTCATTCCTGAATCATAGGAAATCATTCACCATTTTATGTACAAGTTTTGAATTACAATCTTCAACTTCTCATCAGAAAAAAAACCCAAAAAGCCTTAAAAAAGCATTTTTGGCAGAACTGCACAGTGTACAGAAGCATACTTTCAATTACACAATATCTTACAGAACACATACTGTAACAAAAAGCAGAGAGCTTGTTGCCTTTTCTGAGAAGGCAGTGCCCAGACAGAACTAGATGTTGCACCTCCCATTATTAGAGGAACAGCTTTAACTGGACAAAAGAGTACATGAAAAAATTCCTGAACGCTCCAGGTGATTTAACAGAAAAATAGAAGTACATTTGTAAACAACTTTAAAACAAGAGCCTTACGAAAATAATAAAGATCACCGAAAGTTAAGCTGTTAAACTCTTCTCAGCCCAATCCACTATATTCTACCCTTACAGGTTATTTTAATGATACACAGATTTTGCCACACAGAACACTTCACTGAGAAATCTGGGCAAACAGTTTTTAAATTTTTGGTGGAGTTAAGAAAGGGACAATTTGAAAGGTCAAACTCTAAATTCTCTTTGCAAATTACAAGTGTGATACAAGCTAATTATTGAATGGAGCTGAGTTCAACAGTGCATGGAAGCACAGTACTCATTTTACAGTCTGAGACCCTTTTTAATGAAAACCCTGAAAAGTCATAAGCAACTGTTAGAGGACAGACTTCTGTGTTATGTACCATCGTTAGCATTGCATTCACTTTCATTATTCAAACTTCGCCCTAAAGTGACTTTTCATATACAATACTGATTTAACATTAAACATATCTGCTTTATGAAAAGGCAAACTCTAAAAACTGTCCTGGGAAACGATTTTGTGTATGTAGCTATCAACCATGCATCCGAAGTTGAGCATTAGTATTTTTGCTGCTCTACTTCATGCTTCGGCATATGTAAAGCAAGCTGCTGATCACAGAGTGTGTTCATTTTGGTAGACGGACAGATGTACGTGAACAGCAATGCTTTGGATAACTTGTGCTATTCCTAATACTACAGTTATTTGCTCTGCCAATTACATTTTGCTATAAATATGTGTGCCCTTAAGTTGATCCCAATATCAGTTTCAGCTAACTAATCAAATTATCTGCTAAGGTTTTGGGAATGATAACCCTTCCTTTATTTAAATGAAATGAAGGAAGGGTTTCTAACTTCCAAAAGTTTGCCAACAACAGATTTATTTTCACTGTTCAGTAAACTGTTCGTCATCTTTGTTGTTCACAGAT